TAATTTTGACCACATGTCTCTGCTCCTATCTGTGAGGCCATATATGCCATCTGTGTGGTCTTGTTGATCAGTTCCCACAGGAGGGGACCATGCGGTTCTTTCTTAGCATCTAAATAACAAAGAAGGTCCTTGCCTGTCTCCGTTGAGTGATAGAGTACCCAGGATGCTTTTGGCTCCAAGTATTGGAAAAGCCACAGGAAAATGTCTTCAGCAAAAGGAGACAGGGTGACTGCAAGCCTAGCCGTTTCAGCAGCTCAGGGATAGTTAGAGACCCCATCTGTCTCTCTTTCTCTTCGGCCGTCATCAGCAGGTGGTCCTGGCCTGGGCGTCTCTTCTCCGATGGTCTTGGCCTAGGCGTAGTGATGGGCCCTGGGCACGGTTGGGGTTACAGGCGTGCTCCACCACACCCTGCTTTAGTGCTTCTTTAAGATGCCTCGAGCAGAGTGAAGTACCAGTATTTCCTGATTTTCCTGTGTTTATCCTTCTGTGTGTCTTCCACCTCTTGTGACTCCTCCACCTCTTTGACTCCTTTGAGCTAAGATCACATTAATCATGTTTTCTTGACAGTTGCAAATGATCCGGGTGATTTAAAGTAAAAGAGAAAAGTCCTTGTCCCCCTTGTCGTTCTGTCTTCTGCTTGCATACATTGTTCTTTCCAAAGTAATTCTGTGCTGGGTTTGGTGGCACATGCCTATGACCTCAGCACCCTGGGAGCCTGAGGCAGGAGGATGGCAAGTTTGAGCCTAGCCTGGGCCACTTAGCAAGACCTTGTCTCAAAAGGGGGTGAAGGGCGGCTGGGGAGGTAGCTCAGCGCAAAGGTCTTGGGTTCAATCCCCAGGAGGGGCAGGGATGGGGATAATTATGCCTCAGGTTTGAAATTTGCTTAGAGATCATCTTACTCTGGGTTTCCCTAAGGGAATTTAAACTCTCAAATAATCACCATCAAGAGAAGAAGCAGGTGTAAGGGCTTCTCAGAGGGCCTCTAGCCTGAGGAGATATAAATGTGTTGCTGTCAGGGAACTTCTGCATTTTGTTCAAAGAGTTGTGCTTCCCTAATGGTCAGGCCCTTGCATTAATTACTCAGGACTGTTTCTGGTGAATCAGGCAGTGATCTTATTTTACAGTTTCTGAGGTAGTGTTTTAAATGCCAGCTCTCCTCCTCTATTTCTTTTGAAATCAAGCTTGCTCTTAATGTCTGACTCAGAATGACGACTCCTAGATGGAAGGGTTGATAAAATAAAATGTGTAGTTTTAAAATTAAAATAAGTCTCGTACAACTGCAGCCCAGAAGAGAAACAGCATGGCTTTCTGCATTGCAGCCTACCACCTTCCTTATTTCTCCTGTGTAACCAGGAAAAGGAGCCATCAGACAGCAGGTCCCCTTTTTCAGGCAACTTTAGTCACATTAGAAAGCTGAAGGTCTCCATTGGCACCCACCAGGAGGGCCCTTCCCCCCCCCCCCCATGACTCTTAAAACCTGAAGGGCAGTCAGAGGGAGCCGGGGAAGGGAAAGCTGCCCTACAGGTCCTGAGCAGCTTGTTGCGGGGGTCGGGTGTGTGGGAGAGGCTTTGGGGTGAAGCAGTGGTGGCAGCGTGTGGTGCCCACATGCTGCCCAGGCGAATGCTGCGGTGCATGGCTCCTCCTTCGTGTGCCCCTGGCACTCTTGGGATCTTCAGCGGGCACTTAATGGAAATAGCTGAGGGTGGATTGACCCAAATGAGCAAAGTTATCAAGGTTCACAAACAGAAAACCGGACAGCCTCATCCTTCATTTTGATGGTAAAGATGGTATTTTTAGGGAGTGTTTCTACTAGGATGTACTTAAAATGTTACATTGTAAAATTTCAAAGTTATAGCTGAGCATGGTGGAGCACACCTATAATTCCAGCGAGGTTTGATGACTGACATAAACTCTGGAGTGGGTTTTGTCACTACTTCCTGAAAGGGCCACCTGTCTCTCTCTCACCTTTCCAGGCAAAGACCCTGGGGCAGTGGCGGGCTTGCATCTCTGGAGGCCCCCCTGCCCTGTCCCGGCTCCTCCCTGCCTTGCTTCCCAGTGGATCCCAATCCCCATTAGAGTAAGACCGCTTGAAGCCCCCCACCACCCTGAGCAGCTCCCTGGGTGAGTGGGGTCCCTGCTCACCACCCTGTCCTCAGCGGCACCAGCCTTAACAGTCCCTGCTCCTCTCTGTCCCTTTGCACTCCTGGCCTGGGAGCCAGTCCCGCTCCAAGCCCGGGACTCCCATCTGCTGTCCCTCCTGAGTGACCCAGTCCTTTGGGGCAGGGGCACCTGGAGGCACAGGTGCTGCTAACCACTCAGCACGCCGACAGAGTAGACTGAGCACCGTGGGGGAGCCGTGGGAGCTGCGTGACCCTGGGCAGGTCCCTCTGACCACAGTGTCCTCATCTGCACAGGGGGTGCAGCAGTGGTGCCCTCACCCCACGGGGCCAGGAGCGCACAGAGGTCACGGGGAGGGTTGTGTCAGTCCGTACCTGGTGTGCACGCAGGTGTGCTCCGGGAAGCGCTGGTGACTTCATTGCTGTTGCTCTTGACAGTGACATCATGCAAGTGATTGTAAATGTCGATTGGCCGGGAATTCTGCTACAAGGCAAATAATGGGTCATAAAATGTTAGAGTTGGACCTAAGTGGAAACCATAGAGAAAGCTGTGGTCCCATGTTATGTCCAGAAGGTAAATTTTGTAGTATTGCTGGAGTGGTCTGCAAGCCAGGCAGTCACCATCACCCTGAAGCCACTGATGGTGACAGTCAGCGGCCATCAGCTGACATCAGCAAAGAAGAGCATTTGCAAAAGAAAATTGTGTGAAAGGTGTAATTGTAGCCAGCGGTTTCCCAGTGACTTCAGATAAACTTACGACATTACCTGGAAACGGATTCTGATTTATGTGCTTCCCTGTAACTTTGCGAGAAGGCAGGAGCTGATTAAAAAGAACTATAACTGTGCTTCTTCCCTGAGCCCTCAGTGTCAGAGCTTGGAAATGGAACAGATTTGGATATGCTTTGAGATGAGGTCCTCCCTGACCACACTCGCCCTTCTTGACATCCAAAAGCAATACAGGTGCCAGATGCATTTTGAGAAGGCCGGGACCCCGCTCACCCTCTGAGCTGTTAGCCGCTAAACTCAGCAACCAAATAGATATAGGTAGCAGGCGATCCTCAGCACTGATTTGAAAAAGATGAACTTGATTCATTAAAAGAGAATAGTTAAAATACTATGTGTTTGCCTTTTTCACACCGAATTCCAGAACAGAATAAAAATTACAGTGTAATGTTTCTCCTCCCGCAAGATTCCAGGTTGGCTGGACTTGGTGGGACACACCTGTAATCCCAGAATTTGGGAAGCTGAGGCAGGATGATCACCATGAGTTGGAGGCCAGCCTGGACTACATAGGGAGGCTACCTCAAAAGAAAAAAAAAAAGAAAGAAGAAAAGAACAGAACATGGACAGGCTTACAGAAGTAAGAGGATGTGGTCACCAGACCACACATCTAGGGAGAGGCACTACACCCAGATGTGGTCGAAGGGGAAACCTCGAGCCAGCATTGGCTACACTTGCCTGCTACAGTTCCGCAGGGGACTCTCAACAGAGATGTCACTGCCATGGGCCCCAGGAGGAGCATGCTGCCCCACAACTGTCCCTGCTGGCCAGGGTTGCAGAAGCAGAGAGGGGTGAGTGCTGTCCTCCCTGGCCTGTCGCCAGGTACTGAGTTCAGGTCTGCACAGGCAGAACCATAGAGCCAGCCCTTGCTATGAAACGCAGGAAGATGCCCTGGTGTCTCCCCTGGACATACAGGATTCAGGTGTGGGAAGGCTGTTCAGAAAGTGTGGGAGCCCTGGACACGATCAGCACCCACCCAGGCAGTGCTTTTCTCTGAGTTGTGACCTCCTGCTGGTGGTACATTGATTTAGTAGGTCAAGGCCTGGGAAATGAGCTAGCCCGCTAGCTTGCTTTTTCCTCTTCCTCTTCTACTTCCCCTCGTCTCCCTCCACAGAAGAGGAAGTACCCGTGCATTGTTTGTATCTGGCTGAGTTTTCTCCCCAAGAACCTGCGTCCTACCTGCGTCCGTTGTGTGGAATCTGTCTAAGCTGGGCTGCTGTGTCTGTCTGCCACATTCCAGGTGTTTTGTTACCATGTGTCAAAATCAGAAGCCACTGTGATGTGCTCACGGGTTTGTTTTCAGTGCAGTCCACATCTCACTTTTGGTTTTGTTTTTGAGACAGGGTCTCACTCTGTAGTTCAGGCTGGCCTTGAACTCACTAGCCCAGGCTGGCTTGGAACTCATGGTGACCCTCCTGGCTCAGCCTCCCATGCTTGCTGGAATTACAAGTGTGTGCCCCCACACCTGGCTTTCCCTTGTTTTCAAGGCACAGTGTTTGCTGTGTTTCACCCACCCCCACTACCTCCTTTCCCACTCTTCCCACGGTCTCTGCATTGACCTACATTGCTTACAAAGTCTTACAGAGTTGTCGAGGCTGAACTCAAACGTGTGATCTTCCTGCCTCTGCCTCCTAGAGTGCTGGGATTACAACCATGTGCCTCCACGTCCATCCTCCCCACTATTATACACAGACACACAGCCCTCAAGCCCACACTTGAGCTGTACTGGTCCCTTTGCCTGGCTCTGAGCCAGCTGGAGGATTTCACTCGTGAAGTTACAGTATACATTTTATGCAAGCACACACACCCCAAAGAAACAAACGTAGCGGAGGTCAGCCTGGTGACCTACTCACCACTACAACATTGTTTCCACGGGAAGTGATTTTCCCACTTCTGCGAAGTTTAAAACTCTGGGTTGTGGAGATTAATGATGTGATGTGGTAGTGACAGTTGTTACAATGTGGGTAAAACAGTTCAGTGTCCACTTTTTCTAAGTGTTTTGTAGCCAAGACCGAGCAATGGAGAGCTGTTTCTTATTACCTGTACGTAGTTTCCATCTCCCTTTTCAAACCAGCTCGTTCTAACTTTGATTTCTGTCCACAGGTCCCTTTACTCGACCTCATCCAGCCATATGGCGAATGGTTTTTGGTGAGTCCATTAGTAGATGTAAAAATGTCTGCTGCTTTTTAAAAATTGTCTTAAAGATTGTAGCAACTTGACTTACCCTGCCACCGAGCACATTTTTAGTTCGGTGTTCTAGTGTCCTTTGTTCTACTAAAGTTCTCCCACGTAAAGTACTGAAGACGGCTCAGACTCTCCAGTACTGAACTGTCCCCACTCCACCCGCGCCCTCTGATGCCACCAGTGTGCTCAGGGCTGGACGTAAGTGAGTACTGCTGGTTTGGCTTCATGTGTAAAAACAGCTGATGCAAAACTAAAGCAGTTCTCATACTAGCATCAGCGTGCCAAGAGCTGTACCTTCCGGGGCCTATGGGGTCAGGGCTGTGGGTGGCCGTGCCCTCCCTCCCTTCCCCCCACAGGCTGCCTGAGCTCCGGCCAGGCCTGTTGGAAGGCCCAGGAAGCTGGCCGAGCTGCAGTGTGTGCCCGCGCTGCATTTCATTCCCACCACGGACACAGGACGTTCCCTCCCCCACTGCGGCTGCCTGCAGCTGAGTGCTGAGCCAGGCTCGGAAGAGGAGCTGTGATGGTCCAAGGTCATTGGTATCAGTGTCGAGATGCCCCGTATCAACATTTTAATTGCAGGAATTCAGCAGAAAGAATGACAGTGCTCCGATGTGTTTTCAAATATTTCTGAAATACAATACACAGCCCCTGTCTTGTTACAATGTGTTTCTAGCTTTTCTTTTTTAAACGACATGGTGTGATTATTAGGATAGCAATTATGATACAGCATGACAGTAAAACAAGACTTGCAAGGGCTAATCGGGGGCCCAGTCTCAGATAAGTGGCCCTGGGCCCCCTCCTACCTCAAACCTGGAATACAGAAGTGGCCTCTAGACTAGGGTGGCCCTACGCAGCCTGGCCTGCTTCCTGTCTTCTCCCTCAGCTTCCTGAATTATCACCCAGGATGTCTTACTTGCTTCCTCCTGGAGAGAAAGTTGGAAATTCTGGCTGTGGCCCCAGTACCTCCTGTCACGTCAGTAGCACTGGCTCCTGCCCCTCTGCACTAGCACAGTAGCCACTTTTCGGGTCCTGGGCATTTCTCTCTCCTGGCGCCTGCCAGCAGGTATTTCAGGCCTCAGCTTCAGTCCTTTTCTCAGAGACCGCTGTGCTGTCGCCCTCAGGATGAAACGGGCCTGTGCCTCAGGTCCCTCATTAAAGAAAATACTGTCGTGATAGGTGCCTGGACAGGCTGTGTGGCAGTGTTTTTGCAAGTTGTGTCAGTGAGCGCTGGTGTCTAGTGTGTGTTGTGTGTCTCTCTAAACCTGAGCCTGTCTGTGTTTCTCTCAGGACTCAGCGTGCTCTACTTCCTGTTCCTGGTCTTCCTCCTCTTCCTGAATTTCGAGCAGGTGAAATCCCTAATGTATTGGCTAGACCCAAATCTTCGATACGCCACAAGGGAAGCGGATATCATGGTAGGTACTGGTCAGTGGCCTCGTAGAGAAACTGGTGGACTCTTGGGTTAAGGGGTAGTGGACTTCACATTGCGGGTTGTTCTTCCTCCATATTTCCTGTACAGGTCACTAAAAGCCAGATGTCTGGTGGGCTGTTGAATTACATGGCTTTGCAGAGGCGAGGCAGTCCTGGGAAATGAAATCTCCTGCAGCAAAGGTGTACCCTGGGAGGGGTATGAACATTGCCACCAGAGAGCTTGAGCCTGAATTCTTTTCCGCCTCTATCATTTGTCCACTGTTGGACTTAGGGTGAAGTATTCACTAGCTTGTCCCCTTTATGAGGTGAAAATAGTAATTATATTTTGAGGAGTTGCTACAAATGAGACAGAGGGACGATACCCATGTGGTCCAGCGCAAAGCCTATGCAGGCCTCACCAGCACAGGCCCATCCTCTGCACCTCTGCTCCTGCTCCAATGCCACAGGGGCCCACTGTAATGACACATTTTTAATTAAACCGCGCAAAACAGCTTTTATTCTTGGCTGAGACTATCTTGACCTTTACTGAAGAGACTACTCGCATGTGAAAAGTCAACTTTTTCTCCCTACACTCATTAGTGCCTTTCTTGCCACTGAGACACAGTACCCAACACCTACAAGTTAAAGGATAAAAGATTTTTTGGCTCGCAGTTTGTAAAGATTTCAGTTCACAGTTGGCTGGCTCCAAGGCAGGGCGGCATGGCTGAGGGGCCTGGCAGAGGAGAAGCTGCTCATGTCTTGGTAGGGACACAGAGGGCGAGGAGCCTGGGAGAGAGAGAAACCCTTCCAGGCTATGCCCCCAGTGACTGCCTCTTCCAGCCAGATCCTATCTCCTACCAGCAGGTCAGCTGAAGGCCATATAAACCAGTCACCTTCCAAATCCCCTGCCTATGAGCACCATGGCTCTTGCAGGGAAGCTGGATGTAAGCCGTAACACTCACCATGAACACTGTGACCAGATGTGTGTCCGTATCCTGCACCAGTTAATTCTCCAGGTCTGCCGGCACCTGCTGGGGGATGGAGAGTTTCATTTCATTCTGCTACTACCCGGAGCCTGTGTCAAATCCCACAAATTAAGGGCTCAGTCCCACAGGACTGCCCACATTTTAGATCTAAATCATAGGTTTAGGTTGTTACCTGCGCCCTTGACAGCCAACCCCAAACAGGAAGTTCCAAGCATGCTCATTTGTTAAGATGGCTCACAGAACTCAGGGAAGCACTGACCTTACCAGGTTATTATGGAGGATACGACAGAGGACACAGATAAGTGAGCAGCTGGGTGATGAGACACATAGAGAGAGGCCTGGAAGGGTCCCAAACTCCCCATGGAGTTGGGGTGTGTCATGTGGACATGTCACGTTGCCCAAAGCTGTCCACATCCCATACATAGTTCAGGGACTTTGGTGAAGAGCTCATCACAGATGTGATCATTTGTTACCATCTCCAAATCCTCTCTCCCTCCCTGCAGGATGAGAGGTAGCTCTGAAGGCTTTAAGCCTGTGATTAGGGATTGGTCTCTGTGGTGACAGCCCCTGTTCATGAGCCTGCCAAGAGTTGCCTTGCCAGAACAAAGGATGCTCTTATCACCTGGTAATTCCAGGGGGTTAGGAGTTAGGGTTAAAGACCAAATACTAGAACAAAACGTGCTCCTAGTAGCACCTTACACTCAAGAAACTACAAGGGCTTTTGAAAGAGCTCCATGCCAGGAACCAGACAAAGACCAAAATCAGTATCACCCTATTTAATACTGTAATGTTTTTTTCTGGTTTTTTATTTGGGTTTTTTATTTTTGTTTTGTCTTTGTTTTTGTTTTGGGGTTTTTTTTCCTAATATTTAATACAGGTTGAAGAAAAACCTTCGGGTGCCCAGGGAGATTAGAATAGCATTTAGGTCACAGACATACAGTACTTTCTTTGACAAACAAGAAATACCATCATGAAGGGACTTAATAAAAGGTCCAAGAAGTGGTCGTTCCACCCTAGTTGACCCTGGTCAGGTCTTTCTTGGAAGAGTGTTTCTAAATTTTTAACTTTCTTAAAGAGATACTATTAAAGCAACTACAAGTTTGCAGAATTTATAAGTCACAGGGAAAAAATGTTTTAGAATTTTTCAGTCTAAGGAAAATAATGGCAAAAGTTGAATGACAGCTCATAATGATGATGATGTTAGTATTAGTCAACCTTCCATTGCTGTAACAAAATTCCCTGAACAATTTATAAAGACCAAAGGTTTGTTTTGGTTTATAGTTGTTTGGTTGGGCCTGGGGCAAGGCAGCACATCCTGGTGAGAGCCTGTGACAGTACAAGCTGCTCATCTCATATCAGCCATGAAGCAGAGAGGGGACACAATGACGTCACACAGTCTTCAAAAACCCCTAGAACCCTCCAACCCCTAGAACCTCCACCAAGCCCACCATGCGGAGTCCACCTCCTTCTGATAGCACTCAGCCTTTAATACATGCCCTTTGGAGATATTCCAGATGCAAACTATATCAATAATGCGAATGATGGTAACCGTAGGGCCAAGAGTGGTTACTGAGATTGCTGGGTACTTTATATGCCTTCTATCTTACCAGCCTCACGCATGCATACTCGGTATTCATAGCACATTTTGCAGAAGAAAGAGCAGCTTCAAATGCTGCGTAGCCCTCACTGTCCTCCAGACCGGTTCTTTTCCATTTCAGCTGAGCTTCCAAGTGTATAGTTTATATACTAAGATCTCCATGCTTGCAGGAATCTTATGAGATAGAAATTGAGAGAATGATTCTCCAGATTCCCAAACAACTTTTTAGGCTTTTTGAGCAAAGTACACCGACATGCAGGGAGTTAACCCTGGTGTCTCCCTTGATCCAGTTTGATGGGAAGAAACCTAATCGAAAAGTGTTCTTGCCATCTAGCGTTCTTAGGAATTTAACGACATCTGAATGTCCCAGTTACAGCTCAAAGGTAGCTGCAGCTGGCCTTTAAAATCATGTCTTCCTATATTGACTAATTTTTTCTTGTCAGGCCAAGCAAAGCATGAGGCTGCTTGCAGTCTCCTGAGTTCTGGCAACTGAAAAGCCCCCTCCTTACCACCCTCCTCACTTTCCACTTCCTTAAGGTAGTCTTGCACAGTTCTGAGGAGCTGTTCGCTGATGGCTGTGGAACAGTGCCTCTGCTTTATAGGATTTGCGGAAAGGAGAAGTTCCTTCATACGAGACAGAAAGCCTGTGACTCACTGGTTCCTCAGTCCATCTAGTTTTCCCACTCCTTCACCCATTCCTGATCCTAATAGGTTCTGGGCCATGGAAACTCAGGCTCCTTTTTTCCCTTAGAATTTCTATTTTAAATTGGGTTTGGATGGAGGGCATTACTGAAATCCCATTAGAAGCAAATTTTCAGCCAAGCGTGATGGTTCATGCCACCCGTAATCTCAGGAGTCTAGGAGGCTGAAGCAGGAGGATTCTAAGCTTGAGATTAGTTTGGGTAATTTAGCAACTGAGACCCTGTCTCAAAATTTTAAAAAGGGCAGGGGATGTAGCTCAGTGCAAAAGACCCGGGTTCAATTCCCCAGTACTGGAAAAAAAAATTTTTTTTTTCTTACCTTATTGTCTAGATGGTTTGCTGCTTTTTAAAATACTGATTTTGGGCTGAGGGTATATAGCTCAATTGTGAGATACTTGCTTAGTGTTCACAAGGCCCTGGGTTCAGTCCTCAGCAGCAGAATAAAATAAATATTGGTTCTGTCTAAAAATATATGTGGTAAGCTTCAGCCAAGCTTTGAGAGCACACCTCAGAGTAAGTCAGTTGTTCTGCCCCAGTGGCCTTCCTCGTAGTAGATACCAACTGAGCTTTTCCTATGCCCCAATTCCGTGCTTAGTGAGGGGGCCGGCGGCCATGTGCCCTGGACTCTTGGGGTGTAGGGTCTCCACAAAGGCAGACTGTTGGCCATTGAACGCTTAAGACAACTTCAACGTTGTAAAAATCTTTAAGCCTATGCAAGAGTAGAAGGGATCCTTAGTCCCCAGGTATCCAACACCCAGCTTTGACAACTGTCACCATATGCCCAATGCTTTTTCATCTCTTCTTCCCCATTTTAGATTTCTTTTTTTTTTTTTTGTAGCCCAGGCTGGTCTTGAACTCGCAATGATCCTCTTGCCTCAGCCTCCTGAGTGCTGGGATTACAGGCGTGCGCCACCACACCCCGCTCCCCATCTTAGATTACTTTTAAATAGTTCTCAGAGATTAAACCTAAAATATAAGGACTCTCTCTTTTAAAACATGAAAATTACATTTCTGCATACGGTCAGTGTTCACATTTCAGCTGGCTGATGAATGCTTTTTCTAACTGACTTGCTGCACGGGTAGCATTGGAGGCATCTGTTTTGATCAGTAGTTTCCCTCCCTCTGCACATTTTCTTTTGCTGTAAAGTTTATTTGTTGAAGAAATGATATTATTTATTTGGTAGCTTCTCAAGTTTGGAATTTGCAGCTCGCATTTGCGGGTGTCGCTGGGTGTTCCCCTTTGCCCTGCATTTCCTCCGCACTGGCAGTTGCAGGTAGAGACTGGGTGGCGCTCCAGACTCCAGACCCGTTTGTGCAGTGCGGCAGCCTCCTAAGGTGGTGCTCTGTGTCTCACTGCAGGGCACAAGGTGTCCGTCCACTGGTCTCTCTGTAACGTTAAGATTGACCGACAGTGGGTTCAGGGAGTCAGCATGGACTTTAAGATCTGACGCGCTGTCAATTACATGGGTGGCTTCAGAAGGGGGAAAAAAGAAACTAAAGAATCGCCCATTGCAATACATTGAAATATGCATCCTGTTTCCAAAATAATATAGCGCGAAAAGGGCACGTCATAGAACCAAGGCAGCACAGTTACCTCGTGAGGTTGCAGGGCTGGAAAGGAAAAGGAGTGGGTGCTGTTGGCATTGAGAAGCGGAATCCAGCCTGAGACGCCGGTGAAGGTGTCTAAAAGAGCTGAGTGCAGGCTGGCAACTAAAGGGTGGGAGGAGCTAGCCAGGCAAAGCAGGGAGTGTTAGTGACTCCATACCGGGGACAGCCAGGATGGGGTAGAGCTGGCTTAGTACGGGGCTGAGGAGTACAGCAAGGCAGAGACTGTGCCTGAGGCTGGGGAGGCTGCCAGGGCTGAGCCAGTTCCGCTCAAGAGTGCATTTTATTCCAAATGTAATAGAAGGCCATGGGAGGTTTATAACCAAGGGGCTTACATGGCTTGTGTTGATGTTTTAGGGAGTGAGTCAGTACCCTTCTCTGCAGTTCAGTTTAGGAACAGGAAGAGCTCAGAATATCAGCTTATTTCTCCCTATAAAAGCTGAGTGGAGCAGATGGCTTTAGACCTAACCACCTAAGCTGCGTAATAGCCCCCACTCCAGATCTAGGCAGATTTGATGCCGTTAGCCTGTCGGATGCCCACTAGCTTCTGCCACAAGACAGGCCCGTCCTTGTGAGGGAGCAAATAAAGCCTGTGCTGTCTGAGGGCAGATAATTTTCAGACAGAATACTCAAAAGAGATTGAAGCCTTTTCTTTTCCCTAGATCACCAATTCCTCCACAGGGGAGTGAGAGAGCTAGGACTGCAGGCCTGCAGTGTGCAGGAGTTCGGGGCCTTCCATGCGCAGAAGGATGAGTTACTAACCACGACCCGTCCCCAGCACACACATTTGTACATGTGCACACGCATGCTGACGTACGCATGCACAATGATCTGACTGATGACTTTCAGGACAGTTTTGTTTGTCATGAAGAAATTACAGGAAGCAAAGGCAGATACTTGTTTACACATTGGGCAAGCAAGGCCAAAGTGGGGGACAAAGACGAAGCTCTATGAGGTGCAGGTCTGTCTGTATCTCGTTCTGCCATGCACCCACCCGCCCCTGCCTCCTTCCAGTCTCCGGGGCTGGCCAGGCTTTGACTTTGGTTAAAGCCTGGCCCCCTTGGTCCTCATGCCTGCGCCTGCATGTGGCTCCCCACCTGCATGCAGAACAGTTGGCTCTGTGTCTCCATTGGTTTGGATTCCCTGGATTCAACCAACCACAGATTGAACATATTTAGGGAAAAGAAAATTTTGTCTGTACTTAGCATGGCAGACTTTTTCTTGTCAGTTATTCCCTAAACGATTATTCCCTAAAGTTATTTGCATAGCAGTTGCATTGCATTATCAGTAGTCTGGAAGTGATTTAAAGTCTACAGAAGACTACATGTAATATGCAGATTTTTTTTCCTTCTGGGAATTCGGCCTTGTGCTTTCCAGGCAGACCTTGCGCCACTGAGCTACATCTCGGCCCTTATACGCGGATCTGACACTATTTTGTATAAAGACTGAAGCATCCTAGGATTTTAGCACCTCAGGGTATCCTGGAACCAGTCTCCTGGGAGACCAAGGGACAGCTATAGACTACAGTCTGCAGTGCCCCTGGCCTTCCCAGGATCAAGACCTCAGGGGCTACTGTAGGTGATGAATTAGCAAACCTGCTCATTCATAATTCTAATGCTGATGTATGCACTTGGCTTTTTGTGATTTATTTTTTGGTACTGGGAATCGAACTCAGGACCTGGTGCTTGCCAGGCGCTGAGCTAAACCCCTGGCCCTCCATCTCTGTGATTTTTTTTTTTTTAATGTCCCCCTATAATTGAAGCATAAAAGCACAAAGGTCTCTACCTGTGATTAAAAGTAGCTTTCTGCAAATAGACCTGCCCCTTTCCTTTTCTAGCCCTTAGCAGTAGCCTGTTCCAGAATACAAGAAGAGTAGAGAGGTTAAGGAATTTGGGGTAGTGGCAGCCTAGTCCGTACATCACCCAGTCAGCCTCAGGGTGTTTCCCTGTCGGCCTGGGAGCCCCTGGAAAAGTTGTTGCTGTTCCAGAGGCTGGGGGCAGACTTTTCCCCTCCTCACAGGGCCTAATCTTGACTGATCCCTTTGGAATTTTGTCTTCCTTTTTCCACGTTTCCCACTTACACCTTATAATGTATATGACAGGAATTTTTCCATTTAATTGATCATAGATAGATATCTGCCAACTCTTGCTACCTCCTATCAGATTAGTTTGGTGAGAAAAAGGATATCAAGCGTAGAGATTGCTGAGAAATACATCATCGTACAGCCATAACTACCTTGCTTAAATAAGGAGTGTATTCAAAACAAAAAGATACTAAAAAAGGAGTTCAAATTCTTAAACACTTTGGAATTCTTTTGCATTTAAATGATGTAGCATCTGATACACTTTCGGGCGGGAGATTCTATTTTTTTTCTTTTCATTTCTGAAGTTGAGTGATCTAGTTCTTTTCTAGGATGAGCATTCAAGGCTTTATGTTCTCCTTAAACTTCCAGTTAACCACTGTAGTTTTGATATGTGGTACTTTTACCATCACTGGACTCAATTTTTTGAACTTAAAAAAAGCATTATGATTTCCTGTTTAATGCATGATTTTTAGATTTCCGAAGGTGTTTGGATTCTGCAATTTATGTTTCTGTAACTGACTTTAACTTTCGTTTCTGTTCCTGCTCTCTGGTCAGGTGACGTGGTGTGTGAGATGCCACTTGTTAATCTGTGTTGAACCTTTGTCAAATCAGTGTGCTTTTCATTTTAACCCAGTGTTTGCACATCAGAGCAAGGCAGTCCTCTCCTATAAAACGCTTGATGCTTGTCCGTTTAGTCAAAAAATCTCTCTTTAAAAACTTTTTAAAATGGAACACGGCGTATCATCTGTCAGGGTGACATTTGTTCATTCACTGACTGAATCCTGGGAGCAGGTTGATTCCTAGGGTTCAATTAGTAAGCCCCCTTTTCCTGTGAAATAGGAGTACGCGGTGAACTGCCACGTGATCACCTGGGAGAGGATCGTCAGTCACTTCGACATATTTGCCTTTGGGCACTTCTGGGGCTGGGCCATGAAGGCCTTGTTGATCCGGAGCTATGGTCTGTGCTGGACAATCAGTATTACTTGGGAGTTAACTGAGGTAAGATGGGACTGCGCAGTGTGGGCGTCTGAAGTGTCAGAAGAATAGAGTTGTCAGGTTTTTGTCTGTTTGCCAACCTCAGGTTCAAAACTGTTTACACTGATCCATGAGAATATTCTGTGCCCTTGTTTAATAAACAAAACTCTTCTTGTCTGTTTAATAAAGTATGTTCTATTCTACAAGTCTTAAAGTGAAACAGATAAAATGAAACTAAAGAAGGAAGTTGAAATCACAAGTGAGACAAGTAAATGATCAGAGGAGATCTGCTTGGAAATAAAAAGGTTGGTTTCCCCACGCAGTGGTTCCCAGTCTGAGAGATGTGGAATTAGGTATCCAGGCATTCGAAGGGTATCGAAGGTTGTAGCTGAAAAATGAATTTGCAACAGAGCACTGTATCTCAGTGATTGAAAGAGTTTGTCTCAGTGGCAGATGGTATATTCTTAAAGACTATTAGCAAAATGAAATTTGGAGAACTAATTCATGATTGTTAGGCTTACATTGTTCTTCGAGAACAGAATTTGGCCGCATCCTCAGTCCATTCCTGGAGCCAGTTGGACCGTCACACGGCAGAGCTTCTGCTCTGGACACGGCTGCTACACCCTTTGTTTTGGACAAAATAGTTTCCGTTCCGCCCTGCTCTTCCGGGAACATCCTCATCCCCGTCTCTGCCTTGTGAAATCAGCCGCTCCTGTCCTTACTGTCCCCATGCAGTACGTCTTCCTTCTAGAATCCTACTCCACTTGTCCCCAGAATAGATCTGCTCTGTCCCCACAGTACTGCATTTGTGTCACCACAGTAACGCTGGCCTTAGTCTCCCTTCCTTTGTGGTTCTGGTTGTGACTACGCATCCAGCTCTTCCCCTTCAGGTCCGCAGCCTTGTATTCCTTTGGTCTTCCCACTGTGCACATCGTGTGCCTATTGGGAAGAGTGTCACTGTTGTGACTCCGGTAGGGCACTACGGCCTTTGCGGCTGTCATTTTCCTACCTCATATCACCCAGAGCTAATCTTTGGCTTTCACAGCTTATTCACTGATTTGCCTACATATCTACGGAATACTTCTGAGGTGGGTAGCTTAGCTTCTTAAGCTGATGTTTTTGAGGGTTAATGGCAATACTTTCTTGTGAGGTGTGAAAACTTTTCTCCTTTTTCCTCCTAGATCCTTGTGTCTCATTGGCCGAGGTGATTCCTTGGCAGTGTATTTTAAAAGAGGTGCTCTTGTGTCTGTTAAGCCCAGTATTCAAAAGGAAACACTATTTGGATAAAGTTGTCAGGCCAGGGATTTAGCTCAGTGGCACAGCGCCTCCCTGGCAAGCATGAGGTCCTGAGTTCAATTCCTGGTACAGAGTACACACACACACACAAAGATATCCCTGGATAAAGTTGTTTGCAAACCTTCTGCAATATAAATACAGGAGTCAGATTATAGACTGTGATTTTTTTTTTTTTTATACGTTAGGAAAAAAATAACATTTTCTGGAACAGTGTGCTATACAATACAAAAGGAAGTGTGTCTTTCTGCATGGTGCCCAGTTTGGTCATTGTGCTGTTCGTGGTCTGTGCCCTGCAGCTTTTCTTCATGCATCTCCTGCCCAATTTTGCTGAGTGCTGGTGGGACCAAGTCATTCTGGACATCCTGCTCTGCAACGGCGGCGGCATCTGGCTGGGCATGGTCGTTTGCCGGTTTTTAGAGATGAGGACCTACCACTGGGCCAGCTTCAAGTAAGTCCTCTTCTCAGGCACTAGTCACAGTGTTGCCTGCTGTGTGCTTTAAGTGCTTCACTGGCAGTCATCTTGAACACAGTCCTTTTGTTTTTGTTTGAGACGGGGTCTCGCTATGTAGTTCAGGCTGGCCTTAAACTCACTATATAGCTTAGGGTGGCCTCCAACTCATGGCAGTCTTCCTGCCTCAGCCTCCCCAGTGCTGGTGTCACAGGCATGTGCCACCACACCCAGCCTTGAGTATAGTCTTTTATAATAAGGAATAAATTCCACATTAGCAATTGAAACTCCTGTTATAAGCCTAATTTTAAACATTAACCGAGAGAATGCTAAGTCATTTATGATTTCCACTTTGTATATTTAGAGAGTTCTAACACCTCACCCACCACCCCCCTCTTTTTTTGGTGGTACTGGGGAGTGAATTAGGGCCCTTCACACTGAACTGTATCCCCACACCCACACACGCACACATCTTTTGTCATTTGAGATAGGATCTTGCTAAGTTGCATGGGTTCAAACTTGAAATCCTCCTACCTCAGCCTCTCAGAGTGCTGAGATTATAGACCTCTAGTCCAGTTTCTACTGGAGTCTTTGTTTCTGTACAGAACCTCCTGAGCCTGGCATTTAAGGTCCACCTTCTTCACAGCATTCTGGGCTTCTGCTCCAACCAGAACCTTTCACGGATCCTTGCTTAAGCATTCTAAGGCTTTCCTAGCTGGTGTCTCCAAATCTGTCCAAACTCCTCCCAAAAACCACTTCTAAAGACTTTCAAACCATGTGGTCAAGTACAAACACAGCAATGACTCCACTTCTTGGGTGCCAAAATCTGTATTAGTCATTTCCCATCCCTGGGAATGAACACCCACAACTTATAGGAAGAGAGGTTTATTTTGATTCAGTTTCAGTGGGTTCAGTCCATGGTCAGCTGGCTCCAAGGTAGAGACTTTTTGGCAGAATGGATGGCAGAGGAAAGCTATGCACCAGCTGGTGGCCAGGAAATAGAGAAAGGAGGAGGAGGGGGCAAGAATACAACCTTCCAGGTCCTACCCCCAGCAGCCTGCCTCCTCTAACCCCCCTCCGAATGTGTGATACTGGGAGACATTTTAGATCTAAACCATAACAACCTCCTTGGGAGACAGATGCAGTGGGAAGAGTGTACTTGCTGATATCCACGTTCTTCCTGGGCTGACTCCAGCTTGTGGTCTTTAACGCCTCTAGTTTTCTGTCACCAGCTCCCGAGTTAGATTGCCCCGTAGCTCAGCAACACCAGATGGCAGTGCTGCACAGTGCCCTTATTGTGCAGTTCCCCATCCGGTGTTCCTTTGTTACCTGCCTCATCAGATACCCAGACCTTTGATGGAGACTAATCAAATGGAAAGGAATCTGAGCATTTGCTATAAAATCAGTGGACTTTTGCTCTTCCTTAAGTTTGTTTTGTTTTGAGACATGGTCTTGCTTTGTAGTGTAAGTTGGTCTTAAATTCACTGTGTAACCCAGGCTGGCCTTGAACTCACAGTGATCCTCCTGCCTCAGCCTCCCCAGTGCTGCAGTTACTGGTGTGCACCACCACATCTGGCTTTTTTCCTGATTTTTTTGTTCATTTGTCCCCTCCTTTCTTGTCCTTTTGGATTTTCAGTAGAACTATTGTCTTCTTACAGGGACATTCATACCACCACTGGGAAGATCAAACGGGCCGTGCTGCAGTTCACCCCTGCTAGCTGGACCTATGTCAGATGGTTTGACCCCAAGTCATCTTTTCAGAGAGTGGCTGGGATATACCTTTTCATGATCATCTGGCAGGTATTTGCACAAGGCCGTAGCTGGGGAAAAACAAAAGCAATCAGGGATTTAGAATTAGTGTTAGCTTCTGTGGCATAGCAGTTTAGAAGATAACGATATTCTTCAACTGACACATAGAATAATGAAGCAGGGTGCTCTTACACACCTGAGCTCTTCTTCATCATGAAGACGTGTTTTTAAAGGGATCTTTCAGCTAAACTGGACACAGATTAGATTCCTTGGAAAAGATCATGTGTAGCATCTGTCACTCAGTGGATTAAGCATTGGCTTGCTTTTGAGATTGATCATTCAAGACCAAAGTAACAAATGAGAAGGCTTTGCTATATTCGTCTTTCAGTGTGTGGTGGTCAGAATTGTACCAGCTCAGCTGTCCTGACTCTGGGAAATGCATAGAGAGGCAGGTCAGCTCCGCGGTCCCGTGGGAGCGGAGCCCTTTGGCGGCATGGGTCCCTCAGTGTTTTTGGAGGGGAGGGAAGCTGTGGTTACAAGGGGACTGTCTCCTAATGGAGGAGTCTACGTACCGGTCATGACCTTTCTGTAGCCCCTGCTTCTTGGTAGAGATGTGGAACTGGGCTCTGAGCAGAAGGCAGCCTCACCCTGGCTGCAGTCTTGTGCTGCTGCCAGGCGCTCCCTGTGTGCCGGCTTTAGGGAAATGCGCCACTGCCTCTGGGTGGACTTTAGGTCAACCCCTCATGCATGACTTGAAGAGCTGCCTTTGGCTGCACGAGCGTTCCACAGCCCCTGCTTCACGCTTCCTGCTCCAAGCTGTTCTTTCCCAGAGCCCTGGAGCAATAATAGGAAGCAGGAAACATGACAAATAGCTGATACCTTGAGCCCCCATGTGTTTTTCCACCCCTGACTCCTCTCCTGGATCCTCAGTTGGTCAGCACTTACGTGGTCCTGCCTGTTACTAGTTTGAACAGCAGCCCCTGGGAGACCCCATGTATCGTCTGAAAATGTGCAGAACGTAACTGATGATTTCTAACTGTAGACTCTCTGTGAGGGATGTTGGCCTATGATGTGCCAGGAGACTAATCTCTTCTCTTCCTTTTCAGTTGACTGAATTGAACACCTTCTTCCTGAAGCATATCTTTGTGTTCCAAGCCAGTCATCCATTAAGCTGGTGTAGAATTCTCTTCATTGGGTGCATCACAGCTCCCACAGTGAGGTAATTCTGGCTGTCACTTGAAGATGCTAACCTGCTCTGACTCCTGCCTGCCATAGTGAAAGTCACATCAGCTAGATTTTCCAGGAAAATGCCTTTCCAGAGAATTAAACACCCAGAGTATGAAGTAAATGTTTTGCTCTCAGACCTCAGTACATTTCCTGGGGCCTTAAAAAAAGAAAATATTGAATAATCAATGCCACACCAATAATGCTGTTCATTATTTCAGATCCTTTCACAATCTTTCACCGCTGGTCTTTTTTTTTTCTCCTTTTATGGTCTGTTAAAAAAAATACGAGTAGCAGTGACACTGAAGTTTCTTAAAATGAGATTATTGGAAAGATCACAAGTTCTCACAGTAGAATTGAAGTCATAGATGACATTGTTTTCAGAATGAGACTTTATTAGCCGTTTTAGGTCCAATTACACTATTGTCCTTGTAGTCCTCCAGGACACCTGTGGTGCGTGTTGAGGTTCTGTGCTCATGGAGGGCATGGAGGGAGGGGTCCCTCACCGACTGTCCCTCGCGGACACTGCGTGACCCAGTGCAATGCAAAGCCAAACATTTCCATGCATTTCATTTTTCTTATTTAGAAGTGGCATTTGGATTTTATAACTGACATAAAGTAGTGGCCTCGATCAGTAGCTACACCAAAGATCTTCCAAGATAGAAACGTAAACTAAGCATTTGAAAGACTTGGCTTTTCAGGAATGGTAAGGTTACTTGGGTCGTCGTTTTTAATATGCGCACAAGCTATCCAACTAGGGGGGTTCACTTCCCAGCTAGTATCTTTTCTTAACCCCCGCCTGTCCCCAAAAGAACTATATACCCACATCTGGAATTGAGCAAACCAAGCAAGACATGTCTGAGTCCTGTGGAGTTAAAGCCACAGGGTCCATTTCTCCTTTTTATTATGAATCGATCAGGACAGTGACAGCGTCCCTTTGAAGCAGGGTAGGCTAAAGTCCTTAATCTCGTAAATGCTGTTTTTCCTTGATGGTTTGGAGCCCTGCACCCTCCTTTAAAACAATTTAATTAGAGACTTTACATCTGTTTTCAGGAAGATTAGGAGCAGTTCTTATATAAAATTAGGAACAATCAATAAAGCCAGTAAGAGGAGAAAGAAATCTCTTCTTACTAAGCAAAATAGCACCTCACAGCTGATTTGCTGTGAAATTCCACTAGTGTTCATGTTCTAAACAAAAAACTGGAGACTTAAAAATTCAATGTTTTATACTTTGGAGAGCACCTCAAAATTTTTGTGAAATCACAATTTCTATTTCCTTCTTTAAAAACAGACAGAGAAACCACTTTCTGTACTGTCACTGCCCACTGTCGTTCTCATCCAAGTGGATGCGTCCACAGCGCGTCTCTGTGCAAAGTGCTCTAGAGGGTTTTAGAGCAGCCGTCTACTTAGCAGCGGCCAAGACCTCCTGGGAGAGGCAGCTCTTTTGGCTTCCAGACAAATCGTAGGCACCGCATGGCCTTTCCTTCCCTTTTCCTTAGACTTTGTGACCACTTTGAAGAGATGTTGAGCAAACATTCTTTTAATTTGATAATATAAAATGCAATAGAAGGGAACTGTTGCAAGGAAAAGAATGCAACTGAACTGCTAAAAGCAGATTGGGAATGGATGTTGAGTGCAAAGAAAACCTACATTCTTCACAACTAGAGTTCACTAGGGGCTTTCGAGTAAAGAGGTGGCATTTCACGTATGAGCTTTAGGTATCTGCAGCTTGATGCACATTCTTTTTTTCCCCTCATTTTTTCATTTACCACCTTACGCATGTGTGCAGTACATAATGTTCGTGTTCCTTGTGTGGAGTTGGTGTGTGTACACAGCACATCTTAATTCCCTTTTTGCCCCTTTCCTTCCCTACCTCCCCACTTAATGCAGAATTTTGTGTGCATGTTTCGTGTGCCTTTATGGTAGCTTTCATCAAAGCTTTCAGGGAGTCTGTGAGCCCCGAAACAGTGATGAGCTGATTCAGACGCTACCTCTGAAGGGGTGGGTTGCGTCTCGGGGCTGCTTGTGAGTCTCCAAGCCACGCAGGCCCACTCGGCAGCCTCTTACTACGTGTGCCTGCTGAGCGCTAGACACATGGCCACTTCACACAGAAATGTGCCATAGGAGCCAGACTGACGGCGTGTCACAGAGTCAGAACGAGCAATGTAGAATGCTCCCCTGCAACATCTAAATGTCTGTTTAAGTATTGGTTTGAATAACACATCTTTGTACAATGAATTCTATGTCCTCTTGAATGTGGCAGCTGGAAAGTTTAAAGGGTGTCTGTGGCTCATAGTTCGATTGCTCTGCGCATTTCAACATTTACAGTCCGTGGCATTCAGCGATAGCGAGGTGCAGCTAGGACTCCGGTCCAGTTTCCGAGGGCTAAAACATGTTTCTATTTCTTGCCCTGTCGAGATCAGAAACCCTTTGTCCTAAAAGTGCCAGAGGGGACAGTGAGTGAGCTGCGGAGTTGACCCTCTGGAGTCACCTCCTCGGACAGCGGCTGCCTCAGCCCCCTCACTGCTTCCACTCTGGCTGTAGGGGTCTCTTGGAACCAAGGCTGAATCAAGACCGCCTTTGCCAACAGTGTGGCTGTTCAAAGGGGGCTCCCCTCCCTCCAGCCTCGCCTGAATTTTGAGTCTGCCACAGGAGCATTTGACTAGGCCCTTGCTTTCTGTGTTCTTGAGTAGAACTAGACAGGGCAGCCGGGGTGTGTGGAGCCAGCAGGACGTTCTTTTCATTCTGTCAAGGTGACTTCGTGATATGTGCACTTAATTGGTTTTTCAGAAGCTCTCTGAGTTCTAACTTTGCCAACTTTGTTCTTTCAGGCAGTACTATGCTTACCTCACCGACACGCAGTGCAAACGTGTGGGGACACAGTGCTGGGTGTTTGGGTGAGTATCCTACAGCCAGGTTTCAAAGCCACCTGAGCACCTGAGTGTCTTGGGTATTTCCTGACCCCGTGTCAGGTGCCTTTCGGAGTAATCCCCTAGGAAGGCAAGTGAACAGGGTTTGCTCTTATTTTTACTGACAATCCAGTAAGTCCCTGGCTTGCAAACATTCATGTTGTAAACTTTCATAGCTGTACTATGTCAGACTCACTTTGTCAGCTTGCAGATGAATCCAACTTACAATTCTCCCAGAGTGGAACTCGTTTCTAAGTCAGGGACTTACTGGATATCCCTCACTTTTAACATTTACTTCCCTGATTTGACTTAAATTGGAGAAACTGGCAAATTACAGAGGGTGCAGAAATTGTTTTCTTTAAGAAAAAGTATTAGGAAGTCAACAAGAAGACTTCCCACATAGAAGACCTCAGAGATCTGGTCTCAGGTAATGAATTGGAGAGTGGCTCAGTTGCATTTCCTCCGAATGTCTTGAGTTTGGGACACGACTGCGTTGTGGGCTGACGCGAACGTCGTGTCACTGTGGCATCAGAAGGGCCCCTTGAAACAGCTGTGTGCCAGAGTACAATTTTATTCAAAGAATTAGCTCAACCACATGGTTACAATTTACTGTTTTGTCACAGATATAAATGCTCTATCATAGCTTAATATTATTTAATTGATGTGGGATCATAGACTAGTTTAACACCCCTCCAATAGCCCTGTTAAATATGTGCCCTGCCTTCAGTATTTCAGGAAAGTCATTCTTTCTACTTAAGCATCAACAATTTACCATCTCACTTAGTAAAGGAAGTTCCAGAGGTGTCCAGCAAATCTGTACCAGAAGTTTGGTTCCTGAAGTAGTGTACACACAAGACCTCATCTAGGTTCCAGGTGACAGTATAAAGAAAACAAGAAAACCCATAAGAAATCACTACTTCCACAGAGTTGTATACAGAATAGCCTTTTTTCAATTAAAAAGTGATGTAAAGCAGTGTGGTCCTGCCCACTTTTAATTCCAGCACTCGAGAGGCTAAGGTAGGAAGATCTCCCTGAATTCAAGGCCAGTTTGGGGTCCATGGTGAGTTCAAAGACAGCCTAAAATACATATATGACTGTCTCAGAAAACAAAAGAATGATGCACACACGTGGATAAAACTTCAGAAAAGAATGTAGAAGAAACTAAAGATCACCCAAAGAAGTCAGCTTTTCAGAGATAATGGCCAAAAGTTTTATTCTTTCAAAACATTTTTCTCTGTGTGTGCATGTGTGAATTCTTGTTCCACATTCTGCGGAGTTACTGTATTAGCTTTTCTCCTTGGGACACAGTGCCTGGCACCCACAATTGAAAGATGATGTTTACTCTGGCTCACAGTTTCAGAGGATTCAGTCCATGGACGTCTGGTTCTAAGGCAGGACCATCCGTGATGGAAGGGCGTGGTGCAGCAAAGCCACCTTGTTCGTGGCGGTCAGGAAGCAGAGCTGGGAGTAGTCTCAGAGAGAAAGGGGCCAGCACCATATGTAGTACCCGAGGTGACACCTCTGCGACCCAGCCAGACATCCCCAGGAGTGTGCTCCTCCAGTCCCCTGGGTGGCTCCCAAAGCAATCAGCTTGACACTGTCAGTCACATTACCTACAATTTTAAAGGATTAAAAAAATGTTGTTACTCTAACAAGATTTAGGCAAGTCCCACAGGAGACAAGGGGCCATAGTCATTTGTTTCTTCCAAAACCTGTGGTGTAAGCCGATTTCCCACCCTAGTGGCTGCAGCTTTAAGAATGATAAGGTGGGGGGCTGGGGATTTAGCTCAGCGGCAAAGCGCCTGCCTGGCAAGCGCAAGGTCGTGAGTTCAGTTCCTGGTACCGGAGAAAAACCAAAAAAAAAAAACAAAAAAACAAGTAAACAAATACGGATTTTAAAAATAATGAGAAAATAGGAAATAGAAACAATGTGTGCAGGCATGTTAACGCAGATTTAAACTAGTT